ATACTTAGATAAAACTCCACCTTTCTACAACGTATACACACACACACACACTTAGCGTAGCGTCTTGCAAGCCACCACAAGCTAAACGTCGACAGATTGGTTCTTACAAAAGAATGTGTTTTCCACGTGTCCTAGGGTCTTGGTTTGGTCTCAAGTTTCGCGCCCTGAAAGCGCTGCCATACACGTGTTTTCAACCCCTGCGGGCAGAGCTCTCTGCGTGAAACTTCGGAATGGGGGTTCCAGCTTGTGAAAAGCAAAGAGGTAGAACACGCGTTCTCCTAAACAATTGTGTGTTTTTTTCTTCGGCTGGGTCTACCTCTTCCACTGACCCAGCTCCAAGCTTTCAAGGTTGCTTGCTTTGGTCCTGGCCGCTGGCCAACTTCGATTTGTTTAGAGACAAGTCAAAGCGTTGGAAGCATTCCTTTTGACCAAAAAAACATGAACCCAAAAGACATGAACAGCCAGTTTGGAAATTTTGAAAAGCATATGGCCAGTGAGTTGCGCGCTCGGTGGCTCAGCACTTTGACCGGGACCGTCGCGTGTCTGCTTTGCAAGCTTCTGCGCAGCAATGGCCCTTGTTCTCGCGGAAGCAAAACCATGGAAATCAGTTAGAAACTCTGCTGCGTTGAACTTGCAAGTGGGTTAAGGGGGCGTTTGTTGTGTTGGGTTTGGGTTCTTTCCCTATTGGTGTTTTGTTTGAGGAGCTGGAAAGATTTCTTGGTGTGAAGATGATGTGGCACCTTGGCGCAAAAGTCTCTGGGGCAGTGGAATGAAGACATGTGGTGCACTTCTGTGAGTTGTGTTTTTGTTCTCTCAGGCATCAAAGTTTGATGCCATTCAGGTCAGATTGGCCAACAAGTGGCGCGAACTTGTGCCACGATCAGCTCTTGATATGATCTTGGGCAATCGCCTCCCAGCCGGCACGAAACTGGTAAACTTGGCGTCCGAGCTTACAACTCCTGGCGTAGAGGATTTTTTTTGAAGCTATGCGATATGTCAAAGGTCGTTGCTGTTACATGTCCTATGGTGAGTTGTCTATCTAACTTCTCAGCAGTGATTAGCGTACTGTGCAGGAGCTTTCCTCGAACTTCGTGTGGCTTCGCCCGGTCTGTGAAGAGTTTCCAACTCGGGTATGGTGCTCAAAGCGTTGACGGAATGACATGTTGTGGAAACAAACCTCTTGGATCACACATTGGGTGATTTCTTTTTTTTGAGGTGCCGTCTGGATTCCTTCTTACTGATGCATTTCTGATGTTGGATAAGCTGTTTGAGAGCCGCCTGCTGGTCCCTCTGGAGCAGCAGACGAAAGCGGACGCAGCCGGAGTTGAGGGGCGGAGATTGAAGCGATGCATGGGCTCTCTTCGCCATTTGTTTCGGAACAGTTCCTTGCTGATTGGTTTGTTTTTTCCTTCGTTGATGCCTGTGACTGTGAAACGATTCTGTTATGCGATTTGTGTTTAGGCAGTTATAGTTGGACATCCATTGGTCTTCGGCGCACAGGCCCCAATGATAGCATCGACGACCGCGTGGCTGAGCTGAAATCTTTATTGCGGAAGTCTCCAGACCCACGACATCGTCGGGCCTGCTGGGCTGTGGGAGTTTGATGTGTGTGTAGTTGAGAAAACTGTTCACTGAGAGCTTGTGTTTGTTGATTCATTCTGCGTCCTGCGCAGGGTGGCCACTATGAGGATTTTGTGCCTTCGCCTGAACCCATTGCTGAGGGCGCTGATGATGCTTTGATGGAGCCTGTTCAGGGTGGTGAGGTCGTTGATCTTGAGCCTCAGGATGAGGCTGCTATGCCCGACAGTGAGCCCGACACTGAGGATGAGGCTGCCAGTGACCCACCTAGCCCTCCTGAAGCTGAGACGCCGCCAGTTCCTGTTTTGACGGAACAGGAGAAACTTAAGAAATACTGGTCGAGGTTTGTGGTGCCCAAGTTTGGGGGCAGCTTGGATCAGGCTGATTCAAAGCCCTCATGCCCTGAGCCTGTTTTGCCAAACGAAGGATTGGAGGAGCCTTCTGGCGAGGACTCTGATGTTGTTGAGAGCGACATTGCGGCCAGGTCTGATTCTGAAGCCACTTTGGTTTTGGGACAGGAAAATATGCCAGGCAGCTCCAAAGATCGTCCTCGTCTGCACCGATCTCTGGCCACGGAGTTTGAAGGTTGTTGCTCTTCTTCCGGATCGGAGAACTCCCCTCGCGATGGCCCGGTTGAGGAGGACTCTGACTCTGACTCTGATGCAAGTGTGCCTGACCTCGCTGCGCCTGAGGAGTTTGAATCGGCCATCATGGAAGGCAGCAAGGTCACGCACAAGAAGGCGAACTATCAAACAGTGTTGTTTCCTGTTGTTTGGTTGAAGTGTTTGCTTCATCGAAAAAGTCGTCAGACAGCATCAATCGCTGGTTGTGCACGAGGCGGTGGAATCTGCTCCAGCGCCTGTCAACATGGTGACGCCCAAAGTTGAGCGACCTCACTTCTGGGGGTTTCCATTGGTCCCCACACCTGAGAAAACTGAAGCCGCTAGGCTGTCTGTGCAGGTGACCAATTGTTTTTTGCTCTAACATGTGTCTTGGAATTTGCGCCTTTGCAGGTTTTCTTTTTCGATCCATTCTCCCAGGCCCCTGCTCGCCGCCAGAAAGTCAAGAATGAGAAGGGCAAGAAGAAAACTTCCAAGGCCAAAACCAAGGCCAGTTTTCATCATTCTGCCAAGCAGAAGGGATTGAAGGCTAAGAAAACGACAGACGCTCCTGTGGAGCCTCAGCCTGAGCATGTGTTTTGCGGGTACGATTTGTCCCCACTTCCGTTGGAAGCCAGGCCTGATTTCAGCAAGAGTAACAAGGGTCAGCATTCCTTCACTTTGAAGGATAGTGGAGGTGCCTGCGTCGAAGTTTTGCTTCGCCATGAAGCATATTTTATCAAGAAGATGCGACCTGATTTCCCTGGACCATACGGCCAAATCAGTTGGTCCAAGCACGGAGGCCCACATGAGGCCTGGGAACTTGTTAAGGAGCGCGCGGGGTTTGATCGCTCAGACTAGAAAGGGGTGTTCCAGCAATTGGTTTTGCTAGGTAGTTAGCGCTAAGGTTTCCTTTGTGAATTTCATGGCTAGCTCGTTTGGCACAGTTTGTTTAATCATGTTTGTTCTGAGGAACCCCTGTTGTGGTAGGGTATGGTAGGGTGCAGTCATTGACTGAACAATGACAGCTGGGGTTCAGCTGAGTGTCATAGACAGCAGGGTGTAGGCGCCAGGCTACCGACATTCAGCTATGCTTATATCGCCAGTGCCCGTGAGCAGATTTTATCTTGCATACACGGTGCTTGAATCGCATCAGCTTTTCCAAACTTCCAAACTGGCTGTTTCATGGGAAAATCCAAGCGGGGATTGGTGCTCTCATTGAGCTTTTGATGAAGGCTCTGCGCTCCAAAAAAGAGCTTGAGACTCTTCACCAAGTTTGCCTTGAAAGAGTGTTCACTCTTCACCAAGTGTGTTGTTCTTTCATTGCAACTGTGCCGCTCTGGCTTTGACTTGTGTGCATTCTTTGTTTTTGGAGAGCCAGGTCCAAACCCAGCTTTCTATCGAGAGATCTTGGTGCTCCGTTCAACGACAGGAATCAAGCGGCAAGAACAAGTAATCAAGTCCAAGCCCTATAGTCTCGACACTACTGTAAACTAATGCCTCGAAGCCCACTGTAGATGTTACTTAGCAAAGAAGTCAAAGTCCTATACAGTATATATATATAGATAGGTGTCACAAGCTAGGGTTTGACTTTGGTCATCTCCTTCGTCCTGGGGGTGCGTGGATGGAGGTGCGGTTTGAATGCGGTTTCCCTTCCGGAGTCCTCTGCCTCCAGCAATCGATCGTGTTCAGGCGTCGATTCGATGATGGCCTCAGCGGGCTCATCCATCAATTGGAGGCACATCTCAAGTCTTTTCACTATGACAGTATTCCTTTACAACAGCTCATTTGTTGCGAGGGAAGTTTGACCCATACCATTGTCTAGGCTCAGGGGTTCCTTTAGCTGTTGGTGCTTGGAGGTTGCGCTAGCGCTAGCCGTCCTAAGTCATGGGAAAGCGTTGCGAGCCGAAACCCAAAAAGTGTGTTCGAGAGCTGAAAAGTTCAGCTCCGGCCGCATTGGATCCAAAGTTCCGGTCAATGACTACGGCTGCGAAGCAGAGGAGGTGGACCATGCAGGGGTTGCTGCGACTCAAAGCTCCGAAGGTGCCATGACTTGCAGTTCAGGTCTACACAAAACGAACCTACCAAACAAGTATATATAAACAAATTATATGTGTGTTTGGGGTTTGGGGTGCTGCTATTTGGTTCCAGTATCTCTCCACCCTTGATCAGCTTCCCCACGATCCCATGAGGTGTTGGCGGTTCTGGTGGGATTGGTCTTCTCGCTGCCGGGACTGCAGTGGAAGACGGTGGACCATGCTGAGTTCTTTTCGGGCAAAATGCAGGTCACTCTGCAAGACATGAAGGAGGGGATGGAATATTCAAGAGATGTGCTTGTGATGTGCCTGTACAACAAACCCAAAAGAGCGAACTGACCAAATCTACTGTAGCCACTTGGGGTTTTCTGTTACTTCTGTAGACCCAATGTGGTTAAATAACAAAAAACAAGCCGGTGACTCTTCAGGAGAACAACCACAGGTGCCTTGTGTACGACCGGGACTATGACGGCAGGTTCATGGACATATTGTCGCCCGAAGGCTATGTCCACGCATTGTTCCAAGTGTTGCAGATCAAGCCTGGAGGAAGCTGCACACTTGCACCGGTATGTTCTTCATTTGTGTGGATGAGCCTCGTCGGGTTCAAACAGATGTTGAATGCTCCAATTCCATCAAGTCCCACCAAAAATGTAAGAATGGTGTCTATTGGGACTTGCTGAGTTGGACCAGAACTTCGCTTTTATTTCCAAGTTTTCAAGTAAAACAGGGTGGTTCATACCCCATGACCCAAAATGCCCTAGCCTGCAACTTGGTTCTGGGTTCCCATGCTTCATCCGAGATCTTCTGGCACCACGAAGAGAAGCCGGACCTCACCGCTGGGAGATTCATCGGTCGAAGCAGTTTCCCAAGGAAACCGCATGGCAAGCCGGGTGGTTTTGCTGATCTTACTTTGTGCTGCCCGGGGCATCAATTGGGCGCTGGAGCAGCCACAAGGATCTGTTCTAGAAGCCCATCCCAGTATGCAATATCTTTTCCGGGTGGTGAGAACCTTTCGGAAGAGTGTCCGCATGGGTGACTTTGGGGCCGATAGCCAGAAGAGCACCTGGTTGTACTCAGGCTGGGTGACTAAGAAGCTATCTGTGAATACTCCAATCAAAGCACAAACATGAACAAATCCACCACCAAAAGAAGATGTTTTATTCATCGACCCTGAAAGGCCATAACTTCATACAGCAAATCTATGACTTCAAGCCCATTCGACTACCTGCCAAATCGACAAAGGCTTTGCCAATGGTGTTCAAATACATTGATGGTAAAGGCGTGTCTCGCGTGGCTGGAGCTAGTGGGCTGAAGCTTTCGCAAGCCTATACACCACAGTTGCTCAGCGTTAGTGAAACGTTTCAATTGTAAGTACCATGGTGTCAAATCATGCGGTGACTTGTCAATCGGGTGTGTCCATTTGGGGGGCGAATGGTTTCCAACACAAATGGCTCCATTTTGGGGGCGAAGATTTCAGCATCAGTTCATCAACCAACTCTTCCCTCAGTTCATCCCAGCCCAGGTTTGGGCGTGCGCTCGCGCGGCTGAGAAGAAGGCGTGAAGCACCAGTTCGCAAGCAGGCCCAGCAGATCCTGCAAGAGTCTGCTGCTTTGGCTGATGACGCCGACCACCCAAAGCTCACCCACCACATGAAGAAATGGCTGGACAGCGCTGACTTGGAACCTGTTTTCCAATACCTCACTAGCTGAAAAGGCAGCTGGCTAGGAGTGCATCTTTTATAGCTAGGAGTGCATCTTTTATAGCTATGAGCTGTTGCAGCGTGTAATATGTTGCCGGGCCCAATAATTCGTTTGTAGGTCACCGCTATGCTTTGAGCTGTTGCAGCGTGTAATATGTTGCTGGGCCCAATAATTTGTTTGTATGCTTTGAGCTGTTGCAGCGTGTAATATGTTGCTGGGCCCAATAATTTGTTTGTATGCTTTGAGCTGTTGCAGCGTGTAATATGTTGCTGGGCTCAATAATTCGTTTGTAGGTCACCTCAAGTTGGCCCTGGGAAAAGGATGTGTTTCCTTGGTTTCTAACACCAGCTGAGAAGGCAGCTGGCTAGGATTGCATCTTTTAAAGCTGAAGTTTGAGCTGTTGCAGCGTGTAACATGTTGCAGTGCAAAACAATTTGGTAGGTCACCGCTCAAGTTGACCGCCTTGGGAAAAGGATTTGTTCTTTGGAATCCTTGGAATCTGTTCAATCTGCAGAGTCCCCTCCAAGCCACCCACATGCCCTCACCGGCCAGAAGCCCTCCTCCATTCGACGACTTTCCAGGCGATATGCCGCGATTGGTCCTGAAACAAGTTGGGCTTTCAGGCACAGCGCAGAGCGCGCAAAAACACGATGGAAACTTTAAAACCGGTAGCCGTCGATTGTCCGTAGAATAGCCGTCGATTGTCGTAGAAAGCCATGAAATGTAGGGGTGCTATTTTGTGGAGTTAAAATCACTGAGAAGATTTGGTCCAAATTTTTTAGTGACTCTTATTGGCGCTTTTCTTTGAAGCTCCCAGTGATTTTAACACCAAAAACTATACCTAAGTTGACTGGAGTCTATGTATACTATTCTCCTTCCTCAGAGCATTTCTGGTTTCAAGTTTGGGGCATAGGCATCACGCAGGCCTCATGGGGAAACCAAAGAAAGGCCAGACTTTGGAACCGCCGCCACCACCAACAAGGAGGTACTTGCAGAAGGCCAAGCCAGAGTCGAGTCCAACTTCCTCTACGACTGCGTCAGCATCGAAGCCTGGTACTAGTGCTTGCCGCACACCTTCTATCCAGGGGAGGTTGTCAATCCGGTCACCGCCAGTGGACCCAACACCGATTGATGCTGATGTGAAAGCTGCAATGGTAAAGAACAGGAAAAATGATGCCAATGCAGCTGGGAAAGATGGTAAGAAGCGAACCAGTGATACTTCGTGTGAAAAGGGTGCTAAGACAGTGAAGACTCGGGACCACCAATCAGAGAAGAAAAAGAAAAGGAAGCATGAAGAGGCAGAGGAAAAGAAGGCCAAGAAGCATAAGAAAGAAGGGAAGAATGGAGGCGAGACAAAGAAGGAGGTGAGTGAGAAGGAGAAGCGGAAGGAAAAGAAGGCAAAGGAAGCAGAGTTGCAGGCTGCAAAAGAGAAGGAAGAGGAGGAGAA